ACAATGCTAAATGTGTGCTTGTAATCATGTCTGGACTTGTTCCCGGTTGCATCACTTATAAAGTTCAGTTGTAAATTTATTTTCATTACATTTCACTAAAACAGACACAAACTTCACTTTTAAACAAAATGTTGACTGCTTTTTGCAAGTTGTAATAGCACAACATTTTATCACCATGAAATCAAAATTGACAATTTTGTAGTATTTATAAAAGATTGAACATTTTTTTCTTTGAAAAGCCATGCATCTTCATAATCTTTAATCAAAAACATTAACATTCCCGTTGCCTTGCAAAGACATCTCCTCTCCCATGATGACAAACACCAGCACAAGGGCTGGACAAAAACGGTTGTCCACTGGCCAGATGAGTTTCAATCCTTCCACTCTAGCAACCAGTCACTCACAAGAAACGATCGCAAAAATGAGCAAACGGCAACGGTCTAATCAATTCCCGATGGACAAATTCAAGTCCCTATATTTGTTTCTCATTTGAGAAGCTGTGTCATTTGGATAAACGTCATAAAAGTTAAGAAAAATGGTTGCAATTTCCATTTTATGCAAACTTTATTTAGCACTGGCTTTTAGGTTAAAAAGTCTTTTGGAATATAGCACAATCCATAGCAATACGAATGTACACTTAAAGGTGGCGTGTTGTGCTGAAAATGAATGAATTACAAACAGAGTGGCACAGCTATTTAGTGAATTCACCCCTATGGCTTTACATATGTGTTGTACATAATCTGGCTGATTCGGGGGTCTGTTTTGTGAACTGGTGCAACAGTACCTGTCCTGGCACTCCTCTGTTTGATGGCGGTCCAGGCTGGAGCGAGGGAACTGTTTGAGGCAGTAGCTGCACTCAGAGGGCAGTTCACTCACGGCTTTCTCCACTGCCAGGTTCCTGCAACACAGACTCTTACTGATCTCACAGCGGCAGTTGGGACATGTGGCCTGCTCCTCTTTTAGACGCGCGTCAGCAAGCAGGTGGATGAAGCAGCCTGCGCACATCAGGTGCCCATTTGTACACTGTGAAATGAGAGCACATCTTCACAGAGCTGTAACATTTTCACAAAGCGTTTTTACACTAAACACAATGTATGTGTTCTTCTCAAGGAGCGTGTTTTTAATAAATGTACTGTTCTTGTTATGATGGAATTTCCTAATGTTCCCCAAAAAGACACAAAGTAGTAGTTTCCTGAATGATTTAAGGAGAAATAAGGAACCTCAATTTTGCTGCCTCTGTACAACTGCTTGAATGTAATGTGGCAATGACAGCATGTTCATCTTTAAAAAGATCATATCACAAGCAAAGACATTTTACTTAGAAGCATTACATACTATGAAAACTTTGTGACGTCACTAATGAAATGCATCAACACAGACGTCCACATTTACACATCAGTGAAGCCTACTGGGTGCCAAGTCACTGTGAGGTAATAAGGTAATTATTATTCCTGAACACAACGAAGTATAATCAAAATAAATTAAAACATAATGTAAAAAGTGCTTGTCAAACCTTGGGCTGTTCCCCCAGTGTGTGGTGCCTTCTGCTCTGAATACACTTCCATAAAGATCCCAAAGATGATCAAGATTTTTTTCTGTTGTTTTTTTTAATGAAATTAACAGTATGTGCAGAGCATTTCAGCACAGAGAAAATGCTTAGCACTTTTGCTTAAGTGGATCTTAATAGGAAAAAGAATAATAATTATGAATAATAAAAAAAAGACCTATTCATGGTAAGAGAGAGTTATTACGAAATCAGTTTCAAAACCTTTCATTCCTTGCATAAAAATGAACTCTTAACAGTCGTCAATTGCTTTTATCTCATTTGGGTCTAACATAGCAATTTCAGTTTATACTTTATTTTAAGGTGTCCTTGTTACAGTGTAATTACACTTTGAAGTACTGAGTAATATCAATTAACAGCTTGTACTTACCATAGGATTAGGCTTTGGTTTAGGGTTACTTGGATGTAATTATGCTTAATTTACTGTTATAGTAAGTACATGCAACATGTAACAAGGACAATGTAAAATACATATAACAAAAACATAATTTGTTAATTAATACAATACTTCCTCCATTTTATACCACAACTCAATTAAAAAACAGCTTTTATTTTAAATTAGCTTTTTTATACTTTGGGTTTTTATTTTACTTAAAGTTTTAGTCATTTTCATTAGTTTTTGTTTTAAAAAATATTTCTATTTAGATTTATTTTAATGTTAGTTTTAGTCATTTTAATACTTCAACTTATTTGATTTTAGTCACCAACACAAATATTCTAAATTTCATTTAATTTTTCATATTAAAAAATATATTTTAGCTTCAATTAACAGAAATTATTTTAATATATTTAGTTTTAGTTAACTACAATTACACTGACTATTCTAGTTTCATGATTAATTCAAAGTTTCCTTTGAATAACTGTTAGCAAGCTGTTACTAATTCACCAGCTGATCTATATCACAAGAGGTAAACTGCAATGTCAAGTCTGTGTTTGATTAATTCAGTGAGCAGCTGATTTGAGTTCTTCCTGGCTTGTTTGTTTTGCTTCAGGGTGTGCACATGTTCGCCTCATTTGATGGGATTCAAACCCTGATTCAGTAATAAACGGATTACATGGCATGAGCAGTGTGACACATCCTCCCTGAATCACATGCTACTTTTAGGGGTTAGTGTGAGAGGATGTCGGTGTATCTCATGCACTGTTTCATTTGTATGTCTAAAACTTCCTCTCTAGTTTCAATATAGGCCTGTCAGTGCCGCAATCATCACATTGACACATGCTCAAACAAAAAGACCACTGTATTGTGGATTTATTCAATTATCCAAACACATTAGATTAATAAATGGACACAAAATGTTAACAAGGGTATGCAAACACCACAACAAAGTGTGTGAAAGCATGAGAGGCCTGTGGCTTCAGAGGGATTATATGGGGGTGCATATTTGGGGGAGGGGTGATCAAGAGAGGCCAGCAGTGATTGGGTTAAACAGGTCATGTGACCACCCTAATTATTATGTTTGCCATTGAAGGCAAAAAAAACGCTGCTCAGGTCAGTATGAGTGTAACTCAAAATATAACTTCATACCAGCTCTTTAAAAAATAAAAAAACATGTACCTGAAATGGCAAATGTGTGAATAAGCATTTTATTCGACATTTAATCACACATTATGAGTCACAGACATTGTGTAATCACCTATATGGTTTAGAAATAGACAAACAATCACAATGGCAACAAGATTCACAATTATAACCCCCTTGGACAGTGGATAGAAATTCATCTGTGTTTTACTGCGGTTTTGCGTGCATGGATGCCTGTATTTTTTTTGGATAGATCTCAGGTAACGTTAAGCTTCAGCTCTCAGCTTGTGCAGAGGGAGAAAAAAACAGCTAAGACTGAACAAAACAACAGGCTGTTGTTTAGTGCCGTTATCCGCCGTGACAGCACGCGCACAGCGACTCTCCGCGACCCAGCCGGGCTCTTCCTCTCCGGTCCACCTTCCGATCACAACCGAACCTCTCCGACACGATCCGGGTTCGCCCGAAAGCCTAAAAGTTATGTTTACTGCAGAGTCTCTTCGATAGTCCTTCTCTTAATCTACACTGCCATCTTTGTTTTTTTCCTGTGTGTCTCCTCCTCTCCCCCTGGTTGCCTGTCCCTCTCTGATTCCGCCTATCCGAGCTCGGTTTACTCGGAGCGGGGTGAAGATCAGGCGAATACCGTCGACCGTTATTGATCTGTCAGTGAATGCGTCGCCACTAGTAATGAAGGCCGTTCTGCCCTTCTCTTTCGCGCTGTCTGATTGGCTGCAGCACATGTTGTGCTTCATCAGATGACTGGGGATATTTAAAGAGCTATGCGTTGCGCATGCGCATCGGCCTCCTGCGGGTCATGGCTGAAGCTTTTTTTAAGAGAAAGGTGACCAAAAACTTTTGTTATTTGGATAGTGGGATGCTTGGTTTTGTTAGTACAGTTATTTTCTATTTTACTGTGCTAGTTTGTCGTATTATTGTCGTGGTGATTATATTTTAAAGTAAGATTAATAGATGACAAATCCTTTTCATACCTTGGTCAAAATCCCCTAACACCCCTCATATGCGACAAAATGGCAACGTCATCGTGGGGCATCATTCAAAATTATCGTACTTGACAGAATAGTAAATGCAAGACCTGAATAAATTATTTGATTTGGTATGTAGGTTTGAAAAACGTAAAGTGTGTTTTTTAAATTTATTTAAATTTATTCCTTTTCATTTTATTTTGACCGGAAACTAGAGCGAGCCCCGGGGGGAGGGGAAACGGCCTCAGCCAATCAAATGTCGAGGTCTATGATGGACTAGTTTGGTCAAGACAGCTGTCAGTCTTGACTGCCCAGTTTGAATGAGCTGTGTGTTTCACTGGGGGGATGGGATGGGAGTGTGTTTGTATGTGTCTTCCTGATTACTGGACTGGATACTAAAAAATATTACTTATAATATGCATACAGCAATGTAATACAAAATTATTAGTAATGAAGCTGAGTTAATAATTTGTTATTTGCACATTACAACTGTAGTACACTTAAAATAGCACATTTCACAACTTTGGGCTTGTTTTGAGACATACCACAATGAAGGTTGAAAGACTGAAGCCACCTGACAAGGACAAAGGCTTTATTCATTAATAATTACTCTGAACAACTTGATATCTCAAAAATGGTAAGTGTTAAAACAAAAGGTGAACAGAAGTAAGAAAATAAACATTTTTATCATAACAACATTATTTTACTCACCAAATTATAGAAACGTGTAACCGAACAGCTAATAAACATTAATTGTCTTAGCCTACAGTCTAAAACATTTAACATTTATACAGTACTCAAAATGTCTCAAAAAGACCTCTGATTTGCAAAACAACTTTTTAGCTTATTACTAGTTAGTCAACCCAACTAACATTCCCACAAACATTGGCAGAGGCCAAGCTTGACCGATACATATTAAAAATGAAATGCCTTTCTTTTAAAATAACACAGATTAAGATGAAATACAGAATAATCAGAGGTTTTTACATACAAAAACAACAATACAACATAAATTGTCCTTACTACTGCCTGTAGTCAGTAAATAATGTCTCGTAATAATTGTTACTTAAATGCCCCAGATCATTTCATTAGTGACCTGTAAGCACACACAGAATTTATACAGAATTCTGAAATTCAAATTTGTTTTTTAAATATTGGATTATACATTAAGCTGCCAAGAAGAGTGCACTATAAGCGCTTTTGAATACATTTAACCATATTTACACTCATTCAGCAGATTTCCCTCCATAATGAGTGCAGATTTCACCAGGGCCTGGTGATCAGGATAAAAACAGTGAATTCTCAGTCAGAATCAGTGCTAAGAGTATACGTGTAGGTTTGAGAGTATGAGAAGACACTAGATGTTATTTACTATGGAGTATTTTGTTTATGTTTTTTCTTTTTTCTCAGGTGTTCATAACTTTATGTTTTACATGGCTTGTTTAGTTCTGACTCTTTTAGTCTTTTCATATATCATTGGTTTCTTCTAGTCACTTGTTTATGCTGCGGCTTCTCCGGTCTTCACTGCCCGCTAACTAACTAATTTCTCAGCAGGTCACTCTTGTTTTGTGTCAGTGTCTTCTTGCTGTGCTGGTTTCTCAGGTTTGTGCTGATCTGTGGTATATTGCTTGTTCGTGGTGGTGTCTTCTGCATTTTGTTGATTGCTTGTCATGTTATGAATCTCTTGAATTTGCTGGTCTCTGTCATGCATGTTAATATCTGGTTCATAATTATTATTATTTAGTATGTTCTCGTAAATTTGTGCTGCATGACATTTCTCTGCCAACATTTCTGGTTTGCTAGAATCACTCTTATTTTCACCACTTTCCACCTGTCTACTCAGTTTCTGCTGGTTGCGCCTCTCAGCCGTGGAGCCAGTGGCTTTTATCGCCCCCTTATGGTCTTTTTGTGCTGTTGCATGCTGAAGCCAGTCGTGCTGCAGGGTTTGACTAGCTGTCAAACGCATTTTCGGGTTGACCTCCAGCAAAGCCCTGACTAGAGCTTTAGCCCCTGGAAAACACAGACATCAGCACTTATCATATTTCTAGATTACAGCATCTAAATTAGAGAATATATGAAGGGTTAAACGGAATAGTTCAACCAAAAATGAAAATTCTCTCATTTACTCCACCGTTGAATAAAGCGCACAAATTGTAATGACTTGGGTGCAAACTGTAATGGAGCTTCTTGAAAGAAAGTATGCCATACGAGTTTAAAAACAACATAGGATTGAGTAAATGATGATAGACTTTACTTTTTTGATTGCTCTAACACTTAAATCAAATGTTTTGTATGGGGGTCAAATGCTGGAGTTCAGTATCTCACCCTCAGATACATTATCCCAGTAAGGGGACAGAAAGTGGACTTCTCCTTTCTGGATGAGACGGAATAGTTCCTCTTGATTACGATCTGGACTGCAGAACGGAGGAAACCCGCTCAGCAGGACAAACAGTATGACACCCATCGCCCAAACGTCTACTCCAACACCGTAACCTGTTCATACATAGACATATACATATGCATAGCTGAATACTTGAAATATCATGTCAAATATTAGTGTCAGATCATGTTACTAATAGTTTTAAACCTTAGCGTTTGAGATTTTGGACAGAGAATTTACAAATGGCCTACATTTACAAACTGTAGCTTGGGTTTTTTGTGTCCAACCAGTCCCAGCTCATCTAAATGTACAGACTTTACCTATCTCAGCAAGTATCTCTGGAGCAACATATGTAGGTGTGCCACAGACAGTGAACACTGGCTCCATTACCACCATGGCTAATCCAAAATCAGCCAACTTCAGATTCAAGCATCCATTGTCATGACGCTGTACCTAAAGAAACAAAAAAGAGATATAATATGAGCTAAATATTATATTATACTTCTTTTAAAATGCATGTCCAATTTTCAAAATGATGAATAAAGTAGCTGGTTGCAAAGTACTGCAGGTTTTTTGAGGTAATGAGCTACTTGTTCCAACGAGTGGCGCTGTTACACTGGCTCCATTACCACCATGGCTAATCCAAAATCAGCCAACTTCAGATTCAAGCATCCATTGCCATGACGCTGTACCTAAAGAAACAAAAAAGAGATATAATATGAGCTAAATATTATATTATACTTCTTTTAAAATGCATGTCCAATTTTCAAAATGATGAATAAAGTAGCTGGTTGCAAAGTACTGCAGGTTTTTTGAGGTAATGAGCTACTTGTTCCAACGAGTGGCGCTGTAGCGCGAACAAACTTTACATCGCTGCTTTTATCCACCTTTTTCTTGTAGTAAAAATGGGCGCGGCTATTTGTAAATTCTATGGGTCTGGCTTCCGGTTTCATCTGCGTCCACTCCGTCCAGCTATTTTTAGCTGAACAAAACAATTCGTTTTGCTGCTTGATATTGAAAGTTGGTGTGTCTCATCATATTATTTTAATGTATTCTCTTAATTATGAACACACTGATTTGTAGTGCAAACAGTTTTACCGGTTACTGCACGTTGTTATTCTCCTGGTTATTTACCGCGGCTAATGAACCGGAAGTCTCACCCATATCCGCGTTGAAGAAAAAGGTGGTATCCACTCTCTGTGAGAGTTGAGGGAATAATGGCATGTGCTCACCAACCAATCCTTCTCGTCGAAAAGTCTGATTCTAATAAATAGGTTAATCTTAAACCGTTTGCTCTCATATGTAGTGTTGGAAAGTCAGATCAAGTTCATTTCATTGATTTGTTTGGATGTTTTATGAAAGTGAACACACTCCCGATTCCCTGTTCCTATACTATGTACGTTATTAATGATTCACCGATTCCTTGTGTAGCTACCTGCAACGATTCACCGCTTGCCTATCCGATTCTCATGTTTTTAACTAGTTTGTCATTTTTCTCGTATTTAGTATTAATATTATATAATTTGTTTCTATTATAATTTATAAAAAATGGTGGTAGTCTATTAAATAGTTTAACTTTTTTGTATTGTATTCTAGCGTTGTTAATGTTAAGCAGTGTTAAAACAAACTATTAAAAATCATTTTCAGTGACTGAAAGTTGAAATAAAATATAAATAACAGATGAAAAATGTTAACTTAAAAACTAAAATGTTGTTGCTTTAGCAATTAACTGAAAGTTGATTTTAAGTTGAATACTAAAATTACAAATAAAAATTTAATCAATTTATAAACTGCAAAAAAAAGATTTTTCAAAATTGTAAATAAATGAAAGCTTATTGGAGTATTTCAGTCTATCTGTTTCCATATTTCATGTTTTATTCAATGTGTAAATATATATTTTTAAATTCCTAAAATTAAAACAAAAACAGAATATATATTTAAAAAAAAGCTAATTCAAAATATTAAATATATTTAAATAATACTAAAATAACACTGATCTTGAGTAACTCTTACCAGTAGGTTTTCAGGTTTAATGTCTCGGTGTGCGATGCTCTTGCTGTGGATGTATTCCAGAGCCTGACTGATGTCTCTGATCATGCATGCAGCACTTGGCTCAGTAAACCTGCCGCTCTGAGTGATAGCATCAAACAGGTCTCCACCGGTCACCAGCTCCATCAGCAGGTAAACATGGGTGTCCGTGTGATGAGAACGAAACAGCTGGATGAGCCGAGGATGTTCCAGACTACGCAGCAGAGCGACCTCATTCTGAATCATGTGACCGCGTCCCTGCAGCTTTGAGTTGTCCACAATCTTCATTGCGAACGTTTCAGCCAGGCCTCTCACACGGCACTCCCTGACCACCGCAAAGTTCCCGTCTCCTACCACACGGCCCATGTCATAGCAGTGCTCAATGTCCTCCAGCGACACTTCTGCCCCATCAGCCAGTAAGTTACTGTGTAAGTCTTTCTGCTCAACTATGTCCTGCTCCGTTATTGTCTCCAAATTAAGATCTTTATCCTGGTTTTGAGGAACAGCTGGGCTTGATTTTGTATTGGCAACATGCTTGTCCGCTTTCAGTGACCTTTGTTGTGTGTTTTCCATGTTGTTCTGAGATGAAGTACTTTTATTACTGTGGTTATTTGGCCTGTCTGGTTGAGAACATTGACTGCTTCTGATTGGAGGTATAGGAGGGCCGCAGCCTCGACAGCTCCGGCAGTAAACAGCATCTCTCTTTCCTTCCTCCTTCTTTATCTCCTTCTCATCTTCTTTCTGCATTAATTAGTAAACCTAATTTATGTTCTTGTTACTTTGCACAAAGCCCTATTGAAAGAAGTTTTTTATTTAATTTTGATTTGTGAAAGTCTTTTATGCTGTGAAAATTTTTTTTATTAATGGCATATTAAAATTATTAAATAATATTATTTACTTAGTTTATTCATTGTCTGGATACATTTAATGGCAAAATAAAATAGGTTCGATAAATAAATCGTTACGAGAAAAAGTCTGGATATGCTTCAAATGAAGACTAGTTAATTGGCCTAGTTAAACTTTTACAGTCACTGCCCCATTTCATTGAATGTATTTATTTATTAATCATTCAAACTCACCTGTCAGTCCCCCTCTGGGTCTCGGTGGCTCTCGCCCCGGTCGCTGGTTCCACATCGGTGTCATTTTGTTCCATTGCTCGTAGTTCCTTCAGTATTTGTGCATCTATAAACCCATGAGTCTGATTCACTATCCATACTGTCCCAGAGATGTCCGGCGGGTTTACAAAATGGTTAAAAAGTCTGTAGCCATGATGAAATCAACGCGCACCTCTAAAGAAACTTGTCAATGTCTGTGAGGATTCGTGAAAGTTTAAAAAACAGCGCTGAATGTGAAGCTTTGAACCGGACAGTGCGCACCCAGCCAATATTCAATCAGCGTCTATCAGACACGAGGTAACACGGGGATATCGCGAAGCCGCATCTTTTGGAAGAGCTACGAGCGCGTTACCGGATACTCCGCATCCTGCTGCAGGAGCGTCTCCCCGGTAACTCACAGAGAACTGAAACACACACACAGACAGAGAGGGGGTGGGGGGTTATATTAGTGAGGGGTTTTCGTGTTTCGCTGTAGTGAGGGCCCTCACAAAATATATAGGCTAACAAAAACCTACATTCGCAAGGATTATTTTAGGCCTATTTTTTTGTCTTCTAAGATGTAATGTATTATTATTAATATTAGCCTATTGCATAACATTTAGCCTATATTTAAACACAAAATATATAGGCTAACAAAAACCTACATTCGCAAGGATTATTTTAGGCCTATTTTTTTTGTCTTCTAAGATGTAATGTATTATTATTAATATTAGCCTATTGCATAACATTTAGCCTATATTTAATTTTTTTTTTTTTACATTTCTGCCACCGTTGAAGTGATGTGAATATGATGTTGATCATAGCTTAACATCTGTTAGTGAATATTTTAGTGATTGCCTTTACTAGTGAAATTAGTACAGATGTAATGAAAGAAACTGATTAAACTGAATATAATCAATCAGCTGTTCCCAAATCCCTTGATATCCTTTTTTTCTGCACACATTCTATTCCACTCTATCCCCTTTATTCGTTGGCTTCTTTATTTTGGTTAAAGGTATAATTAATGTAAACTTCTCAAGACTTTGTGTTTGCAGGTCTCTCTGTATTGTCATGGTTACTGCAGCGCTGCTTTGTGTGTATGTGTGCGCTTGGCTGGCTGTGTGTGGACGGCTGTAAATGTGTATCTGGGTTGAATCCACATGTCCATTAGAGGGCGGTGTGTGTTTGAGGGTAGCGGGGAGGAGAGGCGCGCGGAATCAGTTTACCAGGTGTTTCTACGCCTCACACAGTGACAAAACATGCGTGTAGTAGCCTAGCCTACTTATTTTGTTGTGATGCTAATATTTGCAAAACCATTAAAATCATTACTGACATTCACTTAGGCCTACTTGTAGCAAATTGAGTTTGTATTTTAATATCGGAAGGACAATGAAATATTTAGCCCAGCAGAACGTCATGTAGATAGATTACAAGTCAAGTTAGTGTAATTGTGCATAAATACAAAAGTCGAGTTGGCCTGCATCGGTAAGCGATTTGCGTTCATTATCGGACACTAAAGTTACTACAAAACGTGAGTAGCCTAACGTTACTATATTTTTGCATCACTTTATTGTAGATTTACACTGCACAAATACATAATAAAACCCTTTGTTCTGTTTAAAAGTATAGTATATTTTGTTTTATGCATATTTATTTTTATTGTTTACTAAAATTAGTTATTAACAGTTAGCAGACCTCCACGCTGAATTCCCGACTCTGCAAAAGATTTTAAATGCTGCCGACCAGAGTCTAACAGACATGCCAACATGAAATGTATGTATTTATAGTTAGTAGTAATAGAGCTTGGATTTGTGACCGGTTTTGTGACTTTGTTTACCTTGATTTCATGATCTGTGTTTTGTATGTTTTAAAAGGAGGTTGACATCTCACCTCTTTCTCTAAACTGCACTCTCACTCACTCACTCACTCACTCACTCACTTGCTCTCTCTTTTCCCCTGTTTCTCTCCACCACCTGTTTGTGTCAAATGTCAAAACACATGAACTCTGCATACCGTGTTTAATCACACATTTGTGTTGGGTTAGACACAGTGACAGTCCACTCAGTTTATGAGTGTGTGTTCAAGTGTATAAGGTGAAAACCTGCATATTCTACAATCATTCCAGAAGTGGCGTTATACAACACATGAGGTTATATCACCAGTTGTTTTGAGAGAACTGGCCTATATTTTACATCGTTTGGTTAATACGGATTACACAAGCTTCCAAAGTCAACGGGAAAAACTGGGAGAGCAGGAAGAGTACTTATAACAGTCTGTGAAGTGCAAATTGTCTTTGATTTGCCACTTGAGTCTATAACTACAAACACTACGAACGAAAACCTTAAAGTATTTTGTAAGGTTTTTTTAACTAAAAATGACCATCTTTCTTATCATTTGTAAATGAATTCGTTTTTTTTGGAGCGTACAGTTCTGGAGGATATTTGTTACACAGACCTGAACATTGTCAATACTGACACACCTGCAATTTATGCGAGATTTATCTTGCATTTATAATACAATTAAGCAGTAATTGGTCAAAGTCAGTTGATAATCTGCAGATTAGACAGGGTATAGTATGATTTCTATAAAGATAATGAAATATAAATATCTGGGAGAGGTGACAAAGTGAAGGGTGTGAGTCTGTGTGTATTTGTACATGCTCAAACAGGTGCATGTTTCAAAGGATGTGTGAACGTTTCACATCATGTTCTCACTAGGGATGGGCGATACGGGCTTAAAAATATATCACGATATTTCTGGTATTTATTACGATAACAATATCAATGACGATAATTCAGGGAATCCTGTTTCTTTTAAGAAAAGTATTATCTTTCCTAATTTTACTCATCATAGGGTGAGCATTAATGTCCTGAGACCCTGCATCCTCATATGAGGACATTATACTGTAGTGAATTTCTCTGAGACTATACATGCCACAGTCTGGATGTCCTGTACAGAGCACATTCAGGGCTTTTCAGGGATACTAAATGTTTGGCTGTTTCACCATGACCACCCCCTCTCCTTGGTCTTCAAATATGTCTGATATTAATTTAGTGACACTCTTATGGAAATATGATAATATTTTGTAATTGTCATTTAAATCGGACACATTTTTAAACTGAGTGTCATAAATCAACATCAGGAAAATGTTATGGGGTTTCAAATCAAAATATAACTTCATGAAACGGGACGTTGATTTCATACATGTCCTCATATGAGGACACCGGGACTAAAAGCATGTTTATAACGCATTTTGGGAGACACAACAAATGAATAGGGAAAGAAAATATATTTCAATATTCCTATGAAATATTATATATTATTATGAAAATCTTGTCAATTATTACTCTCAATATTACACTTCTTTTTTTCATTACATGTTGCCCCAAAAACACATTAATATGCAAATTAGATGTAGTTTATAGATACAGTGGGTACGGAAAGTATTCAGACCCCCTTACATTTTTCACTCTTTGTTAAATTGCAGCCATTTGCTAAAATCATTTAAGTTAATTTTTTTTCCTCATTAATGTACACACAGCACCCCATATTGACAGAAAAACACAGAATTGTTGACATTTTTGCAGATTTATTAAAAAAGAAAAACTGAAATATCACAAGATATCGCCCATCCCTTGTTCTCACAGGGGAATGATGAGTACAAACAGGGAAATCCTGGAACCCTAGGGAAATGAACTGGGTTTTATAGATTGTAGAGGTAGTTGTTAGTGATGACGTTTGCCTAGTCACTTAGTGTTATTTTAGGATTATTTATGCACTACTATTAAAGTATTCATTAATATTTTGAGTTATCTTTTATTTTTATATTTGCAGTTTTCATTTAAATGTATGCTCTCTTAGTAATTTTGTTATGTGCTTTTTTGTCTTTTTTTTTTTTTTCAATTTCAGCTTTATTTTAATTACTGGTAATGATTTTGAATGCTTTTAGTTTTAGTTAAAGGCTGTTATTGATCAAAAGAACCTACACCAGATGTCTAATGTTCATGAACTATAAAACAGCTGCTCTCTGATAACAATCTTCAACCTAACGTTACAAATTATAAAAAATTCAAGAGTTCAGCTTTAACCCCACACCTTGTTGTGTGCAATCTTATTCAGACCCTTCTCACAGTTGTTTGGGGGAAAACTGTTCCACATTTACATGCTGAAATGATTGAGCGTTTCAGACTGTGCTGCCTCACTTACAAACATTTGTAAATTCAGCCTTGCGGCTCAAAGGATGGGCTGGGGAAGAGGTTAAGCGTTACTGGTGCAATGTTTTGGTGATTATTGTGCAAACAGCAGCTGATACGGCTAGATCTTCACTGCTTCTTACTGAGCAGAACAGCCAATCAAAGAGTGTGAGGGTGGGAAGAAAGAGTCCTCTGACATAAGGTCATGTCCTCAGAGGCTTGTAAATGAAAGAGACACAGCGAGAGAGAGAGAGAGAGAGACCCTGGCCCCCATATCAATCATTCCTTCCCCCGTCCACACTGCGCTCTCACTCTCTCCCTTTCTTGCTCTCTAAGCCACACTTTAAATGAATCAATGCATTAGATAATGCTTAGAATGGGCCTGAGCTGAAGTAAGCACTGATCTATAAGAGAGCATTATATACAGATATATATATATATATATGTCACTTTTGATAAAAAGCATCTGCTAAATGAATGAATGCTAAATGTAAAGAACAAAATATCAAACAAAATAACTTATTTTAAACAACTGTAGTATATATTTCTCAGAAAGATATTTATTAAGTTTTTCAGTGACAAAACAATATGTTGATCAAAATGATAGGGGAGCTGACTTTATACATTCACTAAAAATCTACTTCAGACCATTTGATAAAAAGTTATTGTAGATACTGGCTCAGAAAAGTAAAGTTAGATATTTTATTTTCTATACATTTTTTAAAGTCATTTTAGTCAAGTTAACGTTAAACTGTAAAACATTATTACAGTACATTTTACAAAAATAGTATTCACAGTGTGTTAGGCTATTTGTCATTTCTTTATAATTGTGAAATTTAATAGCAATTTTTGATTGAAAATTGTTTCTACGCCATTTTTTTTCCATGTATGGGTCGATGGTGGATTTAATAGTGCTTGCTCATTTGCCTATTTTTACACTTAGATTATCCTTGCTTTCACTTGTCTAAATTCACTTGTAGCATTTAAAAGGATTTTAGTTTTTTATTGTTACATTTGTTGATACAAAATAGTATAGAATTTTAACATCAGTTATTTATTGGTTTTTAATATATTTCTTGTCTTGTCTGTATCAGCCATAATTTTAATATAAGTCCATCCCATTTTTTAGTGTCCAAATTGGGAGCCAATTTTGGACCAATGCATTTACATTTATTGATTTAACAGACATTTTTAAAGTCAAATTCATATAGAAACTCTAGAGAATGTAAAATGCTTTCAAATGTCTTGCACCATCCCTTTTCTTCCTCATCTTTCTTTATTCTATCTTTCACAACTGATTCTCCTACAATTCCCAACTCCCCATCTCTCCGACCCCCCTCCGCCTGTCTGTCATCTCTCCTCTTCTCTCCTGGCATTGCTCCTCCCCCATCCACCCCCCCAAGCTTGTAGTGATGACATCGCAAACAGCAGTTATAAATCAGCCAGTAAGATTGCAGGAGCTCAGTGGTGCTGTCTTACCCTCCTCACTTACTCACTCTTTCTTTCTCGCTCTCATTCTTTGCTTTTGTTCTCTCACTCAGCTCTAAACATGGCAGACGTTTTTGTTGGCACATGGAACTTAAAGGAGAGCAAGAATTTCGATGACTACATGAAAGCCCTCGGTGAGTAAGGAGGGGGTAGATGCTGTGGATGTATGCGGTGTGTATTGCTTTACTGCTAAACATAGGGTGTGCCTTTTGATGCAAGTAAGCACATGTAAATTGGGTGTGTGTTTCTAATACTAATAGGAGTATTCATTGTGCAGGTGCATGTGTGCTGCTATGTGTGTGGGTGTGTTTAAGATGGAGTGCATGTGGTGCAGGCAAGGTCTCCCTTGATGAATCTCACACACACATGTGCTTTCACACACACACACACACACACACACACACACACACACACACACACAGATTTATGCTACAACCACGTGTGACTGTAGAGCAACTGCTGTTCTCTTGTATAAAATACAATGAGGCCTTTATTTTGGCAGCTTGTGAAATTTTTTTTTAAAACTGCCTACAGAACTTGAACTATAGGCTATCATGACCTTGATGTTTTGTTACACAAAACATGGAAATGTCTCTGAGATGCTTGCCGGCCATTTATTGGCCAGTTGTGTAGTATTTGTGATTTTAAAGTAGTGTTGAGTGACTTGTAGCTTAAGAGCGGAAGATGAAGGGGAAAAATCAATCAGCATGCAACTGTATGGCGATAGCAATAGAGGGAAGGAGGGAGGTAAGTGTGGTTGAGACAAAGTGGGTAGTTTTTTCTTTCGACCAACCAGTTTCAACTCCAATGAACCCTGATTTTTCGCTCTTTATCTGTGGTCAAAGAAGAGTCTGCCCTGCCTGCATTCGCACACATACACCCTCACAGTATTTGCTGAACAAATCAATACTAATTGCTGCGTTCTCCCAAAACTGCACGTGTGTTGATTTGACCATTTTGACCGTTCCAGAGTTTGGTTATTTGCAGACGTGTTCATTCGTGACTAACCCCTGAAAAAATATATATATAGGCAATCTTTGTTTAATTATTACTATTCTGCCCTTAAGCTATGCAGATGATCTTTCTTCATTTGCATTTTCTCTAATAAATTGCAGACCCTTTTAGAATGATTTTTAATTTTAAAATGATTAGAAAATATATTTCATATTTAAAGACTATTTAATAAAATCCTTTAGATATTTTTTTACTTAAAAAAGAAATAAAATTTTTTGAAATGTAATTATAAAAGTTTGTTTTCAGCTTATTTAGAGTATATGACCAACTTTTAAAAGTCACTTTGGCTCTTAAAAATATTTTATTTTTTTTATTAAGCCCCTCAGAAATGTGTAAAATGTAAATATTTTATATATGATTTAATATACTTCATGTAATTTTTAACTAATTTACAGTACACACCCAATTGTCTTTGGTTCTTGATGTTGTCCATGTGAATTCTGCTGCATGTGAATTGTAGAAATGGCTTCATACCTCTTCTAAAGTGTGTGTTATGTTTATTTATCAGGCGTGGGCTTTGCCACGCGTCAGGTTGGCAGTATGACCAAACCCACGACCATCATCTCCATGGAGGGCGATGTCATCACACTTAAGACCGTCAGCACATTCAAAACCACAGAAATCAATTTCAAACTGGGAGAGGAATTTGACGAGACCACTGCAGATGACCGCAAAGTTAAGGTAATATGTGCACAGAGCATACATTAGTCCCACTTTCAGTAGTCCTTTGCTTTGAGATTGCTAAAGGCATGCAGAATTTCATGCCTGACACATTGTGAATTGGGTGAAAGATGTTGAACACAATAGGGTTTTGTTGGTAGGATACAAGGGTTTCTTAGAAGGCCCAATGGGAGATTGACCTATCCCGTGACATTCCTCAGGTCAATCATTAATTGTAGACATAGAAATGCCACTCATCGCTGCTCCCGGGTAGCAAGAGAAAGAAATTAGACCATTTTCCAAGTAAGAACAGGTTGTCTTATTACCTTTACCCTGTTGTTTCTCTTTGTCCATCAGTCCATGGTAACTTTAGACGGAGGCAAATTGGTTCATGTTCAGAAATGGGACGGTAAAGAGACGAGCCTGCTCCGAGAAGTCATTGACAACAGCCTAACTCTGGTTAGTATTGTGTGCACTTACAGTAAGTGCCTCTTTGGCTGGGAACAGAATTATAAGAACAGTCAGCAAGAGCAAAACCTGTTCTGCTGCCCATTTAGTAATTACTTATGCCAATATTTATGGGTGTTTGACTGAATGAATATATATCAACAGGCCAACCTCTCTTTTATCAACAGACATTGACACTTGGCGACGTTGTCTCCACACGACACTATTTAAAGGCAGAATAAAGGGAAACCTCAGTCACAACCCGTCCTCATCAATGGTTATGAACATTTCCAGTGGTTTTTCTGTGGTGTTCATCCATTTCATTTGCACCGTTCCTCAAACACTGAATAAAATTCCAACTTCATACCTCCAGATCTGTATTTGAGCTTGTATTCTGGGTGTGTGATATGCTTCTCCAGTCAGTGTTATGGCTTATGCCTTTAATCTACAATAAATGACATTTGCTCCAAACTGACCTTGTGCAATTTATTGTCAACATTTCCATCAAGTGCTCCAGTGCTGTGCCATGTGTTACACACTGTTATATTTCCATGAGGTCCTTCTAATTTAAGCGTGTTCCAGTGTCTGCTGGGTGACGTGCATGTGTTCTAAATCAAGCGACTGGGCCTTGTGTCTGTGTGTTTCTGGGTGAAAGGCCATTCGGAGGTTGCGCAGTGAACCTTTTAACCTTCACACATGAATCCAGTCACTTTTAATGGTCAAACTTGTAATATTAATGATCAGATACATTTAATCTTGATATTGATGCAAAAAAAACAGTTCTTGCACAAGCTAGTACTTGCATATCGCAACTGTTTTGCAAACCAAAAGAATCACTTTGTCTTATGTTTGTGCTTCTTGTGTTTTTTCTTCTTTTCTGAATGTGTGTGTGAATGCCGTGGCCGTTTGGCATCTTCATCGCTGCTATCGGATGAAGAGCTGTCTCTTTTCTTCTCTTTCTTCTTTTCTTTCTTTGCCTTCTTTTCCTGCAGGAAAAATGCAAAGAGGCATCATGAGCTTGCAAATGAAAGGCAGATCAAGACGTCCGCAATAGGGAACTATTGCAGAAGTTGGCAACAAGTAAAACGGGCAGGGTTACACAACCGCTTGCAGGCAGCATGTCATCTAGCGCAATAATTTTGCTGTCAACGGGGTGTGTCTGTACCTTTTTACGTTTCTGGGGCTCTGATTGGGTTTGCTGACTGGTCTGTGGCGGCTGCTGCTCCTCCTCTTCTTCTTCTGGCACTAAACTGTACTGCAGTCCAGGCTGGGAGAAGCAGTCCTTTGCAAAGTGACCTTGCATACAAACAGACATACAGGTCATTATGACATAAACACTGTCATAACAGGTGCTCAGGGATTAACAGTACAATCTGCAAGTAAAGACAATGAACATGAGATCTAAAACTGACACTCAATGTATCACAATTTCCACAAAAGTATTAAGCAACACAACTGTTTTCAAAATGAATAGTATTACGAAATATTTCTTGAGCACCAAATCAGCATATTAGAATGATTTCTGAAGGGTGATGTGGCACTGGAGTAATGTCTGTAATAGGGACAAGGGTCTAATGTACACTGGAACTGGGTCAGATTGACATAACCTGGAGGATCATACCTCTGCAGCCACACTTTTTGCATGTGGTGTTGAGCACAGCCTCCAGCGTGATCTTCTGCCCAGTATGATCTCTAAACTGTCTCCGGCGACGTTCGTCCTGTCTTGTGTGAATATTTATTTATGCACAACTTGGTATGGTTATGAATTACCTTAGACAGCCTCCTATGAGTACAGGGTTTGGTTTGCAAATTTGGTTGCACTCATGTACCATAAAACCACTTACTCTGCTATAACATTGTTGGGGTCTAGGTCCCGCCCAGTGCCTTGATTGACAGATTTCATAGAGAATGACAGTTTTACTTTATCATCTTTCATCTGATAGTGGATGGAAATCAAAAAGCATGATTAAAATCCTGAATCTGAATTATAAGAACACTAAACCAATGTTTAATCGGTGCATAAATTTCACTTTTAGTGTATGCAATGATAATATGTTGGTAACGGTATAAAAACATTTTTATTGTTGTATTTGCGTACATGCAAATTGAATGTACCTCTCTGCCAATGACTTTTATCCACACTTGTTCCCCTACATCAACAATTTCAGCTGGGTTATCCACCCGACAGGATGACATCTCACTCTTATGAACCAGACCTGATGATGCAAACCCAAATAAACATAAAAATATGTGTGTCTTCATCTTCCTTTAAACAACAACGCACATCTTGATAACTCTCCAACTTTACCTTGTTTTTTGTATCCTGGAATCTTAACAAAAGCACCATATGTTGTAACAGAAACTACCTAAGAAAACAAGAGGGTGAGATGACATATCATATGATATGATATTATATTCTGCATATAGGAATTTAAATCGAACCTCTCCCTTCAGAATGCTGTACATTGGTGGCAGTCTATCCAGACCAGCTGGCTCTCTCATCCCCTCATCTGCCATTCCACCTGCAGAGAGGTACACGTATGGTTTGCCATCTGTCTGTAACTAGTTCTTTAACTGGACATGCTGGAGCAGAAAACAAATCCAGTCTGACCACTGCATCTAAACATGCCATCATTAGTGTTCATGCAACTCATGCCTGATGAGAATATGCCAAGATCAATAAACTTACCCGATGGGATCAGGTCTAGGACAGTTTACTGTAATTTGAAAACAATCTATAAGAGGACTGCAATATGCACGTGCTAAATTATCGCAGTTTCAATTACAAAAATCATTATTCAATAAAAAAGGTCAAATGTAAATACTGAGAGCGTCGTTACTATTTAAGACGCTGCAAAACGTAAATACATTTAGAGCAGTACGTTCCCCTTGTCTGGATGAAGCATGAGTTCCGTGAGTGCATTGTCTTCCGGTTCAGAGATTTAACAGTAGCCAATAAGATCGCGTTGTGCGTGAGCCAACCAATCAGAAGTCTTCGTATTACCGGATGTGTTTTACTCGGCGAGCGTGTGTAGCTCGGTAGCGGTTAGTGGCTCGAAAAACTCATTCATTTGAAAAGAAGATAATAGTTTTGGTCGTTTTTCGCTTATTGTCGGGATTTGAGTATTTTTCCACAACAATGATCGAACCGAAGAAGCGTGGCGCAGAGATGGCAGTCGTTCCCGTCGGCGTGAAGAGGCCCCGGACAGAGCTGGTGGCTGCAGCGCAGGCCCAGCAGCTCTCTGCTATGGTAAGCCTGAGAGCCCAATTAGATGGAAAAGACTAGCTGCTGCTCAAACTTTTGTATGGTGGCTATGTTGTAGTAATTCGTACTGACTCGTAACAGGTTACGTTGTCAAGGTAGTAATTAGTAATGTTAAAGTTTTATTATTATACTTCAATAAACTTGAACACTATACACACACCTTTGCTCTACTTCAAATATCGAGCATTGTGCTATTATGTAAACAAAGATTAAAGAGAAAAACAACTATTAAAAATTAAAGTATTCATACAAAAATCTGAATACAATCGGGTATAAAAATAATAATTTAAAATCTTTACAGCTTTCTTATTTAAAGAGTCTCTAATATTTTCAGTATCTAACACAATACTACTGAATGTTACAGAAACAAGTCTTATTTAATCAGTCTTTCAACCGATTCATTCAAAAACAAAGGGTCGTTCACAACCAAAACAGGTCCTATTATTACAAAATGTGTTCATGCAAGTCTTCTATAAGTTCAAGCATTATACACACTTTCCCCACAATTAACAACAACAACAACAACAAAAGACACTAGTACTACAATGAATGCGTGCAGATGAACGAGAAGGATTCACTTGAAAGATTCATTCAAAACAGATTTTAGATTTCAAAACAGACTGCCATCTGCAGTCAGAGGTTAGTGGGTGCATGATTAGGGGGGCTTCATCACCCTTGAGTATTTATAACAGCACCTGCATAAACATTGATCTGTGTGTGTGTCTATTTGTGTTAATGTCAGGGCCCCCCGCGCAGCTCCAGTCTGCAGGCTCCTATAATGCTGCTCTCTGGTCATGAAGGTGAAGTTTACTGCTGCAAATTTCACCCCAATGGAGCCACGTTAGCCTCCTCTGGATATGACCGTCTCATCTGTGAGTCACTTGATATTTATTATTTTGTTATTATATTTTATTATTTTTTTTATTGTGTAGGTAATATTGATTTGCATGTGTGTTTGTTGGTTCTGTCTGATGTCTGTGTTCTTGTAGTGCTGTGGAATGTATATGGCGACTGTGAGAACTATGCAACACTTAAAGGCCACAGTGGAGCTGTGATGGAGCTTCATTATAACACGGATGGCAGGTGTGTTTGCCTAAATTGCAAAATTAAAAACTTCCTTTCCTCATTTACACTGTCATTTAAAATTTTTATACTGTAGCTTTATATATTATTCTTGTATTATTCTATCACGTACTAAGCGTGTTTGTGTCCTCCAGTCTGCTCTTTTCAGCCAGTACGGACAAGACGGTGTGTGTGTGGGACAGTGAGACAGGGGAGCGTGTGAAGCGTCTGAAAGGTCACACGTCCTTCGTGAACTCATGTTTTCCCGCTCGGCGTGGACCACAGCTGGCCTGTACGGGCAGCGATGATGGAACTGTGAAGGTAAATTCAGCCCACCAAGTCTAGACTCAAAACACTTTAGAAGTCTGTGACATGTCTTGACTTTATGAAACAAAAAAACTCTTACATTTTCTACATTTTCAATCTGGTCAAGGTTATAGTGGAAGTGCAGCTGAAGCATTAGATATTGTGTTAAAACGCAACATGGCTATAATATTAAAGGGATAGTTCACCCAAAAATGAACATTTTGTCATCACTTATGCTTGTTGTTCTAAACCCATAAGACTTACATTGCCAAAGCTTCAAAAAGCACAAATAGACATGGTGAAAGTAAACCATATGAATCAAGTGGTTTAATCCAAGTCTTCTGAACAGAAATGATCGCTTTATATGGCACAACTGATTTATTATGGACTTATTCATATAAACATTGACCAGTGCGCATACATAGAGCACATCAAATGTGTCATGGAGCTGTCTGAGGGTTTGTAAGAGATTGAGTATGTTGATGGCAATTCAGCAATTATTCTGTATCCTTCCTGCATCCTTCCTTTGACCCAGATATTAGCTTAGATCTTTCAACCATTATGCCACCACCACCTTTGAATTACTACAGCTCAGTTTGCAGACAAAACAGGAAATCATCAGCACTGGCAGAGTCAGAATGCACTCCCTTGTTGTTTAAAAGAGAAACCGAAAATTGTTTGTGTGATGCTCATGACTTTGGTTCGTGTCCCAAACCCATTCCCATTTTTTGTCTAAAACCTCTACTGTCCTATGAAAAAACATATAGCCAATAAATAAAATAAATTGTAATGTTTGATAGTTGTTACAGTGAGTCTTTAGGTTGCTGCTTATTCATTTGAATGTTGATTGAAATGTCTAGATAGACAGACATAACATGAGAGAATTTGAAAGCCATCTGTGTGTCAGGCTAATAATGTTCAGATAGTCTAAAAGTGTCTTCAGTACTTTTTTGTTCATCTGTTATTGTAGCTGTGGGACATTAGGAAGAAGGCCTCTGTTCACACATTCCAGAACACGTATCAGGTTCTTAGTGTGACATTCAATGACACCAGTGACCAGATCATCTCAGGAGGCATCGACAACGACATAAAGGTTTGTGTGCGACAAATACTCTGCAGTTGATGTCTGGGCTCTTTTGCTTGTATGTATGTATATTTATTCCTGTATGTATGTGTTTCATGTTGCAGGTATGGGACCTCAGACAGAACAAGCTGATTTACAGTATGCAGGGTCATGGAGACTCTGTGACAGGTCTGAGTCTCAGTGCAGACGGGTCCTACCTGCTGTCTAACTCTATGGATAACAGCGGTAAGCCTAAATGTGTGTTCGTGCATTTGTGTACACACACCACAGATCAAAAGTTTGGGGTTAGTATGATTATTTTTTTTTTCATGTATTTGAAAGAAGTCTCTTATGCTCACAAAGGCTGCATTTATTTGATCAAAAATACAGTAAAACAGTAATTTTGTGAAATAATACTATTAAAATATAAAATAACTGTTCTCCATTTTATTTCTCTATACTGTTCTCTAATATATTTAAAAATGTTATTTATTCCTGTGATGGCAAAGCTGAATTTTCACCAGTCATTACTCCTGTCTTCAGTGTCACATGATCCTTCAGAAATCATTCTAATATGCTAAACTGGTGCTCAAGAAACATTTCTTAACCATGCTTAAAAAGTTTGTGGAAACTGTGATACATTTTTCGATTAAATAGAATTCTTTCAGGATTCTTTGATTAAATAGAAAATTCAAAAGGTCAGCACCGAATGTATTTAAAATAAAAAATATTTTGAAACATTATAAATGCCTTTATTGTCACTTTTGATCAATTGAATGTGTCCTTGCTGAATTCAGTATTCATTTCCCCCCCAAAAAAACTTGCTGTCCCCAAACTTTTGAATGGTAATGTATGTGTACCTGTTATTAATGTGTGCATAACGGAGTACATCTACCGATGTTTTATATTTGTCTGGAACAGTGCGTGTCTGGGATATCCGTCCATTTGCACCAAAGGAGAGATGTGTGAAGATCTTTCAGGGAAATGTCCATAACTTTGAGAAGGTAAGCCCAGTTCTCTCTGTATATTTACAAATAAGATTACCCGAGTTGTTTATAAAGAGGGAAATAATTCCCACTGTGTTTGCTGTGAAATGTTTTTTTTTAGGCTAGACTTTCAATCGGTGAATTATCAGTTCATTCTTTTAGTAAACTTTACTGACGCTGAGCTGGAAGTTCACGGCAGGACCAAAGGGTTTTGTATTTAAAGTATTTTTTTTTTTATTTTTTTTTTATTTTTTTGTCTTTTAGAATCTTCTCAGATGCTCTTGGTCTCCTGATGGGAGTAAGATTGCAGTTGGTTCTGCTGACAGGTATGGGCGTTTTTGTGTGGTTTATGCAGTGTTTGTACAGTATGATTATGTTTGAGGTTAATGCAGTGTGTTTGTGCTGTAGGTTTGTGTATATTTGGGACACAACATCCCGTAGGATCCTTTATAAGCTCCCGGGTCATGCTGGGTCTGTAAATGAGGTCGCTTTCCATCCAGAAGAACCAATTGGTAAAAAAAAAAAAAAAAAACTATTATGCATATCTGGAATTGTAAAAGTAGCACATTCCTTCCATACTGTTTACCCATTTGTGACTCCATTATTTTATGTCTCCCACAGTTCTCTCTGGATCCAGTGATAAACGCCTCTACATCGGAGAGATTCAATAACTGTGTGTTTGTGTGTGCGAATGCTGTTTATGTGACTGTGTCTGAATGTGAGAGTGAGAAGAGGATGGGTAGAGGGGGATATGGTTTGGACTTTTGCCATTAGTGTTTGATTTGAAAACAGTGATGAACAGTTGAGGGAAAAGTTGGCTTTTTTATGCTTTTAATAAACCTGTTTCTAGAATTAGTATGTGCACTGTCTTTGTGTAAGAAATATGGTATATGTGAACATGGGCCACAAAACCAGTCTAAAGTTGCACAGGTATATTTGTAGCAATAGCCAAAAATACATTGTATGGGTCAAAATTATAATTTCTTACCGTTAATATATCAAAACATAATTTTTGATTAGTAATATACATTGCTTTAAAGGCAATTTTCTCAATATTTTGATTTTTTTGCACCCTCAGATTCCAGTTTTCAAATAGTTGTATCTCGGCCAAATATTGTCCTATTCTAAAAAAAACATGCATCATTTGCTTATTTATTCAGCTTCAGATGGTGTTAAAATCTCAATTTCGAAAAATCTACCCTTATGACAGGT